TTGTCGAGGACGACTGTGGTTGAGGAGGAGCTCATCGCCGGCGGAGGTTTGGATGAGTTCTCCGGCGATCTCCTGGATTCTTTGACTCACTTCCGCTTGAACCCTTGGAGGGATTTGAGTTGGGTCGGGTTTCATTTGAACCCGGCCGATGCCTTTCTACTAACGGCCCGTTTTCTTTGTTAGAAGTAGGGGTGAGCACGGTTCGGTTCGGGTCGGTTTTTACCAAAATTTGAACAACCGAACCGAACCACTTATAATTCAAAACCGAACCGAACCATTGCAAATCGGTTCGGTGCGGTTCGGTTCGGTTTGTTCGGTTCTAACTTTCATCAAGTATAACAATCAAATGCACAAATATTGCTTGTCCCAAGAGATAATTTGTATATATTTGTTTTCATATGCGCCCAAATGCAAACCTCCGAGTCGTCGGAAGACTTGGACTTCTTGATGGAGTTGAAGGAGAACTCCTAACGCTCGTCGCCGAAGGGGCCGCCACGCTTGCGGGAGGGGGAGGGGGAGATGGGCATTTCGGGAAGAGGAGGTGAGAAGAGAGAGAGAGAGCGAGAGAGAGGGATTGAGGCCGAGGGAAATGGGAAATTGGGAATGAGTAGCGGCGGCTGTGATTTGGGAATGAGAGGAAATGAAGTTAGGGTTGAGGGTTTGGGACGGGTCGGGTAAACACAAACGAGTTTGAAAGTTTTGGGAATATATTCGGTCGGTTCGGGTCGGTTCGGTTTGAAAAGTTGTCAACCCGACCCGAACCGTCTTACTTTTAAAACCGTTTTTTTCGGGTCGGTTCGGGTCGGTTCGGTCGGTTTTTTCGGTTTGAACCGAACCATGCTCAGCCCTAGTTAGAAGTGCTGAAAGTAAAAAATAAATCAAAGCAGTAACTTTGAAATTTATAAAGTAAAAAGTAGCGAAAGTAATATTTTTTTATTTATTTTACATGTTTTTTAAAGTAGTGAAAATAATACTTCTTATTCTCTATTTTTCTATTTTTTTGTTTGGATAGCAATGAGAAGTTATTATGAAGTAACTAATAAATAAAATATTAATAAGAAAATTTATTTATATCGTAATTAATGCACATTTCACTAACTTTCAGGCTACTTCCAAGTCTTGAGGGGCTGAAAAACATATAGGAAATAGAGATGATACGTAGACGTCACATCAGCGTTTAAGGAAGTATTGAAAAGATATTTTTAAGAGAAACAAGCATGCTTTTTTGTTGCTCGGAAGTAAGAAAGTAGCATCTACTTTCTTTACTTCAGCTACTTCATAATTACTTCTGTGTAAACAAACAAGCCCTAAGTAGAAGGGTCTTTTAAGATTTTAGTGCCTTCTGTAGTATTTTGATATTTTATTCCTCAAATCATCTTAATGTTTATATAAAATATCTATTATATATATATATCTCTATATATATATATGTGATACCAAAAATTTGAAGGGAATTTTACATCCCAATAGACATGTGAGGGGTATATTGGTAATTTTGTTATAAAGGACATGGTTTCCCTTTTATTTTTCTAGAACATTCTAAACTATGACATGAATATATAATTAGAGCTCATAAATTAAATATTTATTACAATTTGTGTTGTAAGAGACATGGATATGAAATGATAAAGTTCTTTTTTGAAATAAATTATTAGATATAAATGAATATAAATACAACAATTGGAATTTCAATGCGTTCTAATCTAAATATTTTCAACAGTCAAAATAAATCTACAAACTTGGGTGAAAATTAATTAAGTATAATAATTCAAAGATAAAATATGAAATATATATCATATCTAATTACAATGTGCCATATTTTCTTTTATGAAAATAACGTCACCACTAAAATTGAAATATATATCATATCCAATTTTAAATAAAGTAATATAAAATAACTCATATCAAATGAAAACTATCATAAAAATATCTATAAAATTCGCTGAAACTTTATTGTAAGTCCCCATTTTATATAAATTTTGGGATGGTAACTTTTCACATCATACAATAATGCTAGTCTATTATAGGAAAACTTTCTTAATGTTACATCCAATTATTTTGTCATTTTCCTCTTATTCTATCCTTACTTTCTTTTGTCTCTTCCCTCTACCCACTCTTCTTTATCTAATTAAGTAATATAAAACATACTTTTTGTAAAGGAAGTACCCTACTACACAATTTTTGCATGAACATTCTAATGCCTTTTCTTTTTTTAAGAGAAAATGGATATGCTTGGTATCAAACATAAACTTTGTATTTGGTGTTGATGAGAAGGAATCTTAACCCCATATCTAAGATTGTGAAGTACAAAGTGAAAAAACGTCACATAGATTATACTTCTCATCTAACTAATTGCACCCACATCTGTAGTTGAAATTTCTTTACCTCACTATCAAGCACCAAAATGTGTCTGATACCAAACATATCCATATTCCTCTTTTTATAAATGAACAATTAAGATTAGTGAACAAAAGAGAATTTTCATATCTTGATGGAATATTACTAGATTGAAAGCTCAATTAAATAATAAAAAATATCGACTGAGTAATTTTTAGTTTTATCTCACTTTATCTCAATAATTTGTAAGAGTAAAATGGTAATTTTATGTTAGGACTTACCGAAGAATATTTTGTGATGGGTCTCACACTGACAAGCTTTAAAATGATTAGATAGAACAAGAAATAAGTTCCTCCTCAAGCACATACTTATGTCATGGTCAAGTTTAGGTTAACCATTGATAGGTGACTACATTATTGATCACCTCTCTCTAGTTTCACTATCATCACTTTCCCTCCTTACTATCTGATGGGAACGGGGTCCATCCCCATGATGAATTAATATGGATTTAATTCATGGAGATTTTGTGGTTGACTACATGCATGCATTGATAGATTGTCTTTCCCCATGTATTGGGAAAAGGAATGACTAGTCTTTGGACTTTCCCATGCAATAAATATGGTGTACCCAATAGACATATCCTCCCTATAAATAGAGGGGAGATGGTGAAGGTTGAAAACAAACAGCAAGAACAAGAACCAGATACAATTTGTAATCCTCAAGTGAGTTTGAGAGAAAGTTATAATCCTCAAGTGAGTTTGAGAGAAAGTTATAATCCTCAAGTGAGTTTGAGAGAAAGTGATCCTCAAGTTAAGTTATACCAACTTGAGAGAAGATCCTTTATAAGCTTTTATTTGATTATAGTGGAAACGGTGAAGAATGGACGGGTGAGGACGTAGGCTCAGTTTGAGCTGAACCTCGGTAAATTTTGTGTGTGCAATCTCTCTTTGTGTTTTTTCCTTCCATTTTTGTTCTCATCTCATCACAAAGATGGGAAAGGTCTTGTTGTACTGTTTATTTCCCAACAGTGGTATCAGAGCGAGGTTGCTAATCTTCTTATGTTTTGGAGATGAAAAACATATCTTGGAAGGCTACACTGATTCTGATATGGCAGGTGACTTGGACAAAAGAAAGTCCACATTAGGATACTTATTTACCTTTGCAGGGGGAGCCGTATCATGATAATCAAAGCTGCAAAAGTGTATCGCTCTATCCACCACAAAAGCTGAGTATATCACTGCTACAAAAGCCAGCAAGGAGCTCTTGTGGATGAAGAATTTTCTGGAGGAGCTATCTCTCAAGCAAGAGAAGTACACTCTATATTGTGATAGTCAGAGCGCCATCGACTTGAGTAAAAATGCTACCTATCACTCAAGGACAAAACATATCTACGTATGCCTTCATTGGATCTGTGATGCTTTAGAGAATCGTCTTATGCACATTAAGAAGATTGATACAAGCCAAAATCCGTCTGACATGATGATGAAGCCTCTACCAAAAGAGAAGCATGACTTCTGCCGAAGAAAGGCAGGTATGACTACTATCTGAAAACTTTCTCCTCATAAGGATGGAAGGGGAGATTGATGGGAACGGGGTCCATCCCCATGATAAATTAATATGGATTTAATCCATGAAGATTTTGTGGTTGACTACATGCATGCATTGATAGATTATCTTTCCTCATGCATTGGGAAAAGGAAGGGCTAGTCTTTGGACTTCCCCATGCAATGAATGTGGTGTATCAAGAGGCATATCCTCCCTATAAATAGAGGGGAGATGGTGAAGGTTGAAAACAAGAAGCAAGAACAAGAACCATAGACAATCTGTAATCCTCAAGTGAGTTTGAGAGAAAGTTATAATCCTCAAGTGAGTTTGAGAGAAAGTGATCCTGAAGTTAAGTTATACCAACTTGAGAGAAGGCCTTTTGTAAGCTTTCATTTGATTATAGTGGAAACGGTGAAGAAGGGGCAGGTGAGGACGTACGCTCAATGTAGGTTGTCTAAAAATCACAATAGATAGCTTATCCCCTATCAAATACCGATGATGGAAGTTACAATCTGACGACTTCCAGAAGGCCATAATTTGAAGACTTTCACGTAGATCACTGAAGGTTACAATCTGACGACCTTCACGACAACTGATGGAAGCTCTAATCAACAGCCTTCACAATCAACATCGGGAGTTACAATTTGATAAATCTCACATTTCAAGGAGCCAAGACGAAGATTACAAGACAATGATCTTTGCAACGCTATGATAAAAGAGATTACTTGTTGATAATCTCTTCAAAGCAAGACGTGGAACTCATCACCGTGCTCCAAGACCAAAACGCGGAGGTCCTCCCTGCACATCAAGACCAAAACGCGGAGGTCCTCCCTACACATCAACACCAAAACGCGGAGGTCCTCCCCATGTGTCAATATTAAAACGCGAGGGTCGAACCTGCGTTGCAACATCAAAACGCGAGGGTCGAACTCACGTTGCAACATTAAAACGCTGGAGTCGGACCTGCGTTGCAACATCAAAACGCTGGGGTCAGACCCGCGTTTTTTACATCTGACTGGTTCAAACAGAACTAGAACGGTTTTTAAAATCGTATCTCCACTTAATGGGGTCGGTTACACCCCATTATAGAGAGATTTTAGGGGGATCACACCCCTGAACAGTTCCAAAACTGTTTCCCACGATTTGGGGGCAGTTACACCCCACTTAGGAGTGATTTAAGGGGCGGTTACACCCCCTTAATCCTCTATAAATAACTGAAGATCAATTCAGTTCAGGGGTTGGGGTCTGTTGAAACTTCTTGGCAGCAACAGAAGAGATCATTGGGTAGGCTTTGGAGGAGATCGACGTTCATCCTTCAGCAAGGTTCGGCAACAGTAGCTCCTTCATCCTTGGCTATTAACCGAATTTTCGATTCAAATCAACTCTGTCATAGAGTTTCAAACTCGTTCAGAGTTATCAACTCATCAAGAGTTTCAAACTTACCACGTAAGTTCTCCACAACGTCAAATCGTGAGGAGGAGATATCATTCCAGTGAATCAAGAAGGTCGGATCGTCAACGGAGAGCAAATTCGACGCAAGCAATCGAAGGAGGCACTCCATCGCCACCGTGAAGAACCCAGATTTAAACAAATGGGAGAATCAAATTCATTCTCCTCGTGAAGAACCCAGATTTAAACAAATGGG